GTCATTTAACCAAATTTATTTCCTGATGGAGTTTGATAAAACTTTATACAAAGGTCAAGTATGTTAATACGTTATATAAAAGTCAAGTATGAGCATACCCTTGAAATATGTGTTTCAAGGGTTACAAGCCCAAGGTCTCTGTTGTTGTAGATAGAAAACTGTTAATTGATTAACTGTTCTCCCTCTAGCTACTTCATATCTTTACAAATTTTCATCAAAGTTTATACATGAATAGGTTTAAAGTATAAGAATATCTCTGGTAGAGTCATGAAGAACATGATCAAACACTGAAACCAATTTCAGATGGCGCCGGGGGCATTCACGTCTTACATATATGTTGTAGTTTTTATATGTTCTCTCATAAAAAGAGCTCTTTAGGGCTAATGTTTCATGTTATGTACATTGTATCAACAAAATACCAAATTTCCTGATCTCGTCTCCCGTTGCACCTGTTCGCGTATGACCATGGCTGTTGTAAGGACGTTAAATTCCAAACAAACTTAACTCGTGCATACATCAGTGTTATAGTATATAAAAAAAGTGTATAATTAAACACTGTTTGGCGGGTTTTTTTCTTCAGACAATTGCCGACTGGTGTTTAGTGCCGACATCACACACGCCAGAGATGATATCCCTAAGGCCTATGATGATAATGCAAGTACGTAATTAACATAGTTTTGTAAACCATCTGTCATACAGAAGAGCTTACGGGCCAGGTAAAAACGTTAAGGTTGTTTTTCTTGTTCGTTCATTGAAATTCGTGACCCAAACTGTAAATTCCGAACTACTATATCGAAATTTCTAGATGCTAACTTGAAATGCCGAAATATGTTTTAGAAATTTCGAGATAATAGCTCGACATTTCGACTTAGTAACTCATTTCACGCATTTTTACGACAAGAACATTGTATCTACTGGTTACACATTCATCTTCTCACACTGCATTTTTATAAAGTCGGCATCAGATCCGCGCTATCACAAGGATGCAAGCACAACCACATACCCTGTCTCCTGCATACACACACGCAAGCACTCAGACACTACACATGGAGGCATGTCCTTAAATGACCTTAGCTGTTAATAGGACTTTAAACAATTTAAATCCCCCGATTGCAGTTTCGTTTGGAGGCAAGAGTAAATACCAATTAAAAGACACCTTCCCCTGGGTAATGCTTAAATGAAATCTCTTTTATAAAAAACATTTTATCCAAAGACCGACTTTGATTTAAATGTATAACCACTAATTAAAATGCATGAATATTCTGCTCAAGTTACACAAGACCTATAGGAACCAGACATTTGAAGAGGTCCGTTATATAAGTCGGAGGTTACCAGCTTAATTATATATATGTAACCGAGAGACAAGTTCAATATTTGCTGTCACTTAATAGATTACACTTTAAGTTTTGTCTGATTAACTATGTAAGTAAGTAATACCAAGATTTATTAACTTTTATTAAAAATGTATAGGTAAATGTTTGCTAACTGTAATGAAAAATAATTACATTTATCATAGTTAAGGTCTGCTAGTGAAAATATTGAAAACCAGTATAGCTGTTTTAAATTAGATGTATTATGATTTATTTTTTAAAGATTATAAAGTTTGATGCAATAGAATGCTCAGATCCTGTTTAAACACGATGAGTTAATAAATACAACACAATCTTAAGGATCCCTACCAAAAACAGTAACAGTGAATTGGAAACTGTTTTACCTGTACGACAATAGCTATTATAAATCATAATAATATATAAATATAACATAAATATGTTATATCTAAATCAAAACTTAAACGTGAGGTTACTGTATTGATGGTACAGTTGAAATATCTTGTGTATTGCCTTCAGTGCCACAAAGATCCTAAATAATTGAATGGCATTTGAAGAATATTTCAATCTTGTATTTGAAGCAGGTAGCAGCAAAGGACAAGTAATGGTGTATCTATATATATGTATTGAAAGGTAATTTAATCTTAATTTACTCTAAGATGAGTAGGCACTGGAACTTATGGTGTCCTTGAACATGAGAATTGATGGTGATTTTTCCAGTCTACCCAACTTTACAAAGGGATACAAGCACTGTGGGAAGTACTCATGTGAAAGACAACTGTCCTTCCAAGAGGAATTCACAGATTCTGAAATCACTATGCTTATTAAATACAAGAGGCCAAGAGGGCCTGTATCGCTCACCCGAATATGTTTCAAATAATTGGTATGAAGTAAAGGTATATACCACTTCATGGTAGGTGCTGTAAGTACATATGAAATTTCAGAAAGTTACATCCAGTACTTGAGATATAGCGAGAACAAACTTCAAACAGAGCCCCACCCCTATTCCCCGGGGGGGGGGGGTCATACACACCGTTAATACAAAATTGAGTCCCCTTGGCCCAAGGATGCTCCATACTTAATAAGGATAAAATCCTGTCATTTGTACAGAAGAAGGTATTTAAAGAACTTGCTATGTTTCCCCTATTGGGCCCCGCCATTCTGCCCCCTCGGAGACCACACCCACTACTTATACACAATTGAGTCCTCTTGGTCCAAGGATGCTCCAGACTAAATTAGGATAAAATCCTTTAATCTCTATGGTAGAAGAAGTATTTTAAAGGTTTAACATCTATTCCTCCTATTGGGCCCCACCTCTCTGCCTCCAGGGGGGTCAGACACATTGTTTATACAAAATTGGTTCCCCTTCACCCAAGGATGATTCATACCAAATTTGGACATAATCCTGTCATTCCTACAGAAAAACACGGATGTTGAAGAATTTGCTATATTTCCCCTATTGGACCCCTCCTCCCTTCTGCCCACAGGGGGGCCACACTCGCTGTTTATACGAATTGAGTCCATTTTGCTCAATTATGCTCCAGACTAAGTTAGGATAAATCCCTTAATTCCTATGGTAGAAGAAGGATTATAAAGGTTTTACCTCTATTGCCCCTATTGGCCCCCGAACCTCAGGTCCCAGGGGGGCCACAACGACCGTTTATACAAAATTGGTTCCCCTTTACCCAAGGATGCTCCACACCAAATATGGACCAAATCCTTTCATTCCTACAGAAGAAGAAGGATTTTAAAAATTTGTTATATTTCCCCTATAGGGCCCCGCCCCTCAGCCCCCAGGGTGGCATGACCCACCGTTTATACAAAATTGGTCCTTCTTCACCCAATAATTCTTCATCCAAAATATGGACCAAATCCTTTCATTCATACAGAATAGGAAGGATTTTAAAGAATTTGCAATGTTTCCCCCCTATTGGGCCCCGCCCCTCAGCCCCTAGGGGGCCAGACCAACCATTTATACAAAATTTGTTTCCCTTCACCCAAGAATGCTTCTGACCAAATTTGGTCAAAATCTGTTTGGCCGTTCAGGACAAGTAGCGTTTTAAAGGAAAAGTTGACGGACGTCCGGACAGACGGACGCTGTGCTTCGTACCAGGTGAGCTAAAAATCAATATTTCGGAGTTTCGATCCGTATTCCGGATCGATATATCTTTGCACCGCCTCCGGGTCTGGTATTATACACGAAATTATATTTCCGTACACAATGCTAGCGCACTATTCCAAACGTGTTGTGCTTGATTTCACTGTTTGATGTGTAGTTTCTGTATATGTAGGTCGGTATATAAAATTAATATTGAACAAATATTTGCTACCATTACCTAGTCTTCATCTAATTATTGCTGTATATTTATCGTAGCATAGACAATACAGCTCAAAACACAGTATTACAGACGTACAGATTACGAGCGGAATATGTCGTTTCCGCGATACAGGTTTCCGGAACTAAAAAAAAGTTTCGCAAATTATTTTGGTCATATGTCTTACACGTTTTGTATATACTGAGCATTAAATACTTTTGACATTCAAAAAGTTTCAAAAGCTGATTTTAATTCAATGTATACATGATTACTCACGTTAAGATATTTTACTGTTACACTGTATTTTCATACATTCGAGCTCTTGTCTACCTTGTTATAACTCTTTTGGTCACACAGAGCATTGAGTGTCAATATCTTGTTTGACCATCATCTAAACATACAGGCTGTTAAGGCAGTTCCAGTAGTATAGTTCACAGCAGGTGACTGCAGAACTTGAGGACATCACATGCTAAGACAGGACAGAGTAACAAACTAGAAGAATATCAGTAGTGGAGGCATCAACGTTGGAAGGCTTCAAGGCCAGGTTGAATACCATCCCCAGTTACACGCTAAGACAGCTCCTCCCAGTACACATTAGTGTACACTTTTTAACTTTTACTTTTTTTTCTTCTCTCTCACCTTTTGAGATGCATAGAGTCAAATACATTCAAGTCAAAGCTCCTTTCTGCTTACAAGATAATGTATGAAGATCCTTTCCATGTACATGTATATTTCAAATGAGCACATAAGCATCTGGTTACACAGGCATGATGAACTGTTATTAACACCTTGAAATAAAGTTGAAATGTACCTGTGATATTCATGCAGATTTTAATCAAATCACAATTTTGAAACATACTACAGAATAAGAAGTTTTGTCCGGGTACTCCGGTTTCCTCCCACAGTAAGTTGTAAAATAAATAAAGCTTACAGAAATATCTAGTATATTGTACATGCGTTGATCCACATGAGCTATACTCCCATCTGTGTCAGTTGGCGTGAAAAGCTTAACCTCACAATGCTACTATTTATTGTTTTTGTTGTTGATGTGCCGTTAATAGTGTAATGGTAATAACTAACTCAACAATTCAAATGTCAGATACATGGTACAAAAAATAAACTAAAACGTGTATTTTACATGAAGCTAACAACACTTAAAACTAGGACGTGTGACCGAAACAACTATTATATTTTGTCAGACGCATCGAAAATAGCGGGAATCTTCACACACAGTTTAGAAATCCGATACTTGGAATTGAAATTTCTTATTTCAATGAAGAGCACCTGTGTAAATAACAAATTTGCATGTGTCTGTTGAGTATTCGTCCGACATACTTTGGTAAGCATAAGCATGATAATGTAGCGGGTATATTTAATATATCTTCAAACACATTTTGGAAATCCGGTTCTCGGATTTGTTGTTCTCCTACCCACTCTTTGACTAGTTCTGCATTATTAAGGAACCTTTAAATGCCCAAGCACTGCATGATTTTTACGGACGTTCCAAAAGCCTTCAAACCACAGCACAAGTCGCATAAACGTAAGTGAATGTATTTTTTTTACCTTTTTAAGAATATATACTACTCATTCATTACAGTTTATATACTGCACATACAACTTTTCAATATTCCTTTTCAGATACGTGTTTTCTTAATACGGATTATGAAATATTGTGAATGAACTTTAACAATATACATATATAACTTGGGAGGCACGGTAGTCTAGTGGTAGGACGCCAGGACCGTGACCGAAGGGTTGCGGGTTCGCGTCACGGCACGGCACGGCACTGTGTTGTATCCTTGAGCAAGATACTTTACTACGCTTGTTCCAGTCTACTCAGCTGTAAATAAGTACGTGGTTGGGCAGTGCTAGAATTGTTGAATGCTATAACCCTATAATCACGGATAATAATTTGTGAACCGCTTTGAGACGACCTACGAACTAGGTTGTGATAAAGTGGTTTATCGAATTATCATATTATTATTAACTAAAGAAAGGAATATTTGTCTTTGGAGTATGTACATTGTAGTATGAATTTTATGATTCAAATTAATAACACATTTACAGGACCTATGCATGAATTGTTTTCACATTAAATTGTCCAGAGTTTTGTTTCTATCCTGGTGTCTTCTTATATAAGGCTTTCTGCATAAATATCCTTGACCTAGAACATTCCTGTAAAAAGGAAAAATAAATTAAACGATTTTGTAACAAAAACCTGGTATGCAGAATCCATATTACAATTACATGTATATATAATTATGACAAAAAAGGATTAAATGTCCATGTGAAGGAGGTAAATATAGAAAATAATAAGATTAACGACCGACTAAAAAACTAGCTGCTTTCACCCTTCACAGGGCTTTCCAGGTTTATTCAAAAGAACAACTTCGTGACGTCACAATTACATGTCATCACACTACAATAGTAACGTGACGTCACGAAGTACACAAGATTGGTGGACAATTTAGCGTATTTTTTTTTATTTTGTCCTATTGAGACTTGGTTTTAATATTTTGATTAGTTGGTCTTCTTATACATATACTGCATAATCATACCTGGTCTTCAACCAAACTTACAGGAATGCTAAATATTGATAATATTTACTTTCATGGTAGTAGATAAGCTAGAAATAAATATTTACATGTAGAATACGGTCTTATTAAAATAAAACAATTGTGACTTTTAATAACAGCTTATTCAACAATCCATATTGAAAAATATGCCTGACCGCTAAATCTGTGAGGAAGTAAGTCGGCTCACCAGTGTCGTATTTCCAAGTTTTTACACAATTACATTTTTCTTCAAAATTTTAATTAATCTCTTGAAATCAATCTTGGTGAATGCTTGGTTCAGCCAAGAGACTATTAATATACTAAAAGAGTCATTAGCAACAGCTATTACACATTCATTATCACATGATAGATTTCAGTATACATGTATCGGGTTTTGTCACAGAGTATGATAAGAAAGTAAACAATCTGACAATCTGCACAAACGCCTGTGCACTATATATTTACCTCATTGTAGAAACTCGTTTCTGAATGCTTCGGTTCGGTATGGGTCCTTTGGGTCATTGACGATGACTCGAGACATTTATTTTCAGTTGCAGTTTTCATAACAAAATTTAGTCCCCTTGGTCCAAGAATGCTCAAGACAATATAAGGATAAAATCCCTCAATCCCTATGGTAGAAGAAGGATTTTAAAGGTTTTACCTTTTTTCCTCCTATTTGGCCCCGCCACTCTGCCCCCAGGGGGACACAATAACCGTTTATACAAAATTAAGCCACCTTGGCCCTAGAATACTCCAGACTATATTAGGAAAAAGAACCTAATCGCTATGGTAGAAGAAGGATTTTATTTAAGGTTTTACCTCTATTTCCCCTATTTGGCTCCGTCCCCAGGTGGGCCACACACATGGATTATACAAAATTGAGTCCCCTTGGCCAAAGGATGCTCAACACTAAATGTTTAAAGGTTTTAGACATATTTGACCCCTGTGACCTTGAACAAACTTGGTAACTCTTCATCCCAGCATGTTACTGGCCAAATATCATCACCCTAGGCCTCTTGGTTATTAAGAAGTTGTTTAAAGGTTTAAACATATTTGACCCCTGTGACCTTGAATATAATTCAAGTTCATTCATTTGAACGAACTTGGTAGTCCTTCATCCCAGCATGTAACTGGCCAAAATGTCATCACCCTAGCCCTCTCGGTTATTCAGAAGAAGTTGTTTCAATGTTTAAACATGTTTGACCCCTGTGACCTTCAATATAAGTCAAGGTCATTCATCCCAGCATGTTACTGGCCAAATATCATCACCCTAAGCCTCTCGGTTATTCAGAAATTGTTTAAATGATTTTAACATATTTGACCAGTTACCTTGAATAGGATTCAAGGTCATTCATTTGAACAAACTTGGTAGCCCAGCATGTTACTGGCCAAATATCATCACCCTAGGCCTCTTGGTTATTCAGAAGAAGTTGTTTAGATGTTTTAAACATATTTGACCCCTGTGACCTTGAATTTAAGTCAAGGTCATTTAGCCCTTCATCCCAGAATGTCACTGGCCAAATATCATCACCCTAGCCCTCTCGATTATTCAGAAGAAGTTGTTTAAAGATTTAAACATATTTGACCCATGTGACCTTGAATAAAGGTCAAGGTCATTTAATTTGATGAACAAACTTGGTACATGAAGCCCTTCATCCTAGCATGTTACTGGCCAAATATTGTCACCCTAGGCCTCTTGGTTATTGAGAAGAAGTTGTTTAAATGTTTTAATCATACTTGACCCCAGTGACCTTAAATATGATTCAAAGTCATTCATTTTAACAAACTTGGTAGCCCTTCATTCTAGGATGTTACTGGCCAAATAACATCATCCTAGCCCTCCCGGTTATTCAGAAGAAGTTGTTTAAAGGTTTAAACATATTTGAACCATGTGACCTTGAATAAAGGTCAAGGTCATTTAATTTGAACAAACTTGGTACATGTAGCCCTTCATCCCATTATGTTACTGGCCAAATATCGTCACCCTAGACCTGTTGGTTATTCGGAAGAAGTTGTTAAAGATTTAAACATATGTGACCCCTGTGACCTTGAAAATGGATGAAGGTCAAACTTAGTAGCCCTTCATCCCAGCATGCTTCTGGCCAAATATCATCACCCTAGGTAAAGTAAAAAAGTTGACGCCGGACGGACGACGGACGACGGACGCCGCACCATGCCATAAGCTCAATTGGCCCTTCGGGTCAGGTGAGCTAAAAATAGGAAAGGTCCAAGGACTGAACCCTGTGGATTATCGGCATTTAATGCCCAATCAAAGAATTAAATTTGCGTAATATTACCTGCTGCTTTATATCAAGTAGATAATCCTTAAAGTTGACAGTGTTAAAGTTAAAAAGCTTTCAATTGAGATTAAAAATTGATTTTGAGATTTGAGATATATTCCCCATCCCTTTCGACTATCGTTTCTAAGGAAGTGCCGACATTTTAGTTTTTCCTTGCTTGGTAACGGATCCTACGATACATACAGTGGGTCACAGCAAGTGTTTTCTTTTTCCGATTCCCAACCTGCAGGGGTTGGCCACACAGTTATTAGCTCACCTTCGGACCCGGTGAGCTTATGCCATACCGTTGCGTCCGTCGTCCGTCGTCTGTCGTCTGTCGTCTGTCCGTCAACAATTTCTTAAAACGACTTCTTCTTAACCACTGATTGGAATTTAATTTAATTTGACTGAAAGCATCCCTAGGTGGTGGGGATTCAAAATTGTACAAATGGTGGGGCTGACCCCCCCCCAGGGGGCTGAAAAGTTGGGCAAAAAGGGGGGAATTTGGCTATATTACTTTAAGCGACTTCTTCTCTGGAACTAAGAGATGCATATCAACCATATTTGACAGGAAGCATCCCTAGTTGTTGGGGATTCCAAATTTACAAATGGTCCTCCCCCAGGGGGCTGAGGGCGGGGCAAAAGGGGGCAATTTGGCTATATTGCTGTAAACGACTTCTGTAGAACTATGCCATGGATATCGATCATATTTGGTCGGAAGCATTCATGGGAGGCATGCATTCAAAATTGTATAAATGGTGGGGCTAACCCCCGGGGTTAAGGGGTTTGGCCAAAAAAGGTTATTACTTGGGAATGGTTGAGATCCCCACCATATACCCGTATATACAATTGCTGAGTATAAAGAGAAGAATGCACATTTACCTCCAGGATGGCCCTAGGGTCTGGTCCCACCCTTGGAGACATAGTCCATTGGCCATAACTTTAAAACGGTTGAGATCCCCACTCCAAAACTATATATACAAATACTTGGCATAAAGAGACGAATGCAGTCATGATATTGGAATAGACCCTGGGGTCTGACCGAATCCCTATGGACCTACTTTCTTAGTCACAGATTGGAAATAGTTAAGATCCCCACCCTATAACCATATATACAATTGCCGAGTATAAAGAGATGAATGCACATATGCTTCCAGGATGACCTTTGGGACTGCCCCACCCTTGGATACTTAACCCCTGGGTCATAACTTCGAAATGGTTAAGATCCCCATCCTAAAAATTATATATACAATTGTTTGGCATAAAGAGACGAATGCAGTCATGATATAAGAATTGATCACAGGGTCTGCCCCACCCTTGCAGACTTAACCCCTGGGTCATAATTGTGAAATGGTTGAGATCCCCACCCCAAAACTATATATACAAATGCTGGGCAAAAAGAGACAAATGCAGTCGTGATATTAGAATTGATCCTTGGGTCTGGCCAAAACCCTAGGGACCTAGTTTCTGAGTCACAGCTTTGAAACAGTTGAGATCCCCACCCCATAACCATACAAAAAAACTTGCTGGGCATGAAAAATCTAATACAGATATCCTACAAGGATTAGCCTTGGGGTCTGGCATATTCCCTTGGATCTCATTTGGAGAATAGTTTGCCATGATTGCTTAGATATCCAGGTGAACGATACAGGCCCTCTGGGCCTCTTGTTTTCACAGGGATCTCCATATTTTACAAAACACTACATCAATTTTCACAGAGTTAGTACACTGCAAGCGTAACTCACAGCAATAATTGTAGCTACCTGGAGCTTGAGTAAGCACGTGACAGGTACATGTGAGGTCGGTACTAAAAAGATATCGGTCTACATTCCATTCCATCCGCTTTATATATGACATTCTTGTCTTCTATGAGGAAAACGTGTGTGCTAAATCTCTCTTTTGCCTAATCCTTACGATTTTAACATAAACAAAATACGCCTTACAATTCTGCCCTTTCACTGTATGATTTCGTCCTATTTCTGCATATTTCGGAACTTTATGCCGACATTTTATTTTGTCCTTGCTTGGTAACGCCTCCTACGATACATCGTTTATTATAATATCCTCATCGCAGTTTTCTCAGTGTTTTGAATAAGCCTTGAAACTGAAGCTTATCTGTGACTGTAATCACATTCCCCTTTCTTTAGGGAGGAAATGGTGGGAAAATTTGCTCTCAACTAGAGATACATTGCTCAGGTAGCCCATCCCAAAAAAATTAAAAGCTTTCGTACTGGTATACCTTACCATAACTATGTTTATTAGAATTGGAAAAGAGAAGTTTATTTAACATTGTATTCATTGCAACACTTTGTGAACCGATAATGGAACTTTTAACCAATTGGTTCAAATAATGTAAAATATTGCATGTGTATTATTTCAGCACGAACAATAACTTATAACACATGAACAATTTACATGACCCTTTCCCAAGCAAAGGTAAAAGTACTTTAATTTAATTCCATAATAAAAAAATAATAATAACGAACGCTTAAGATTATTTAGTTAAATAGTATAATAAATCCGGTTAAAGACAATGTTTATATTATTATCTTGCTTCATCTATTTATTTATTAAAAACCTAGTCGTCTTATTTATGACCAATTAACATCTCCGTCTGAAAAAGAATTCTGCATTTCTGAAGTATGCATTTATCTTCCGTACTACGTCTAGAATGTTATGTAAATTAATTTAAGTTAAAGGAATACAGCCGCGGCAAAACAAGAGGCCAGAAGGGCCTGTATTGCTCTCCTGGATGTTTATGCCCAGCAATGGTATATACGTAATGGGTTGAGGATCTCGACCGTTTCAAAGTTATTACCCAATTATTAAGACCTTACGGGTGAAACCAGACCCAGGGGTATGCCTATCAGATACATATATGGCTATCGGGTTGGAATTTTAGCATGAATATATTTATCTCTTTATTCCTATCAATTGCATCTATAGTTATACGAAAGGGATCTCACGGTTATGGCCCAAAAACTACATTGTAAGTAGCAACAGGTGTGTCAATTCATGATTTTGTCTGTCACTTGATGATCAGCAGTTGTTTATATGGTTTAAATACAAATTTAAACTTTGAATCCTCTACCACCGAAAAATGCTCAAAACTAAATATGGATGATATCCTTTACTTTGTTCCAGAGAATAAGTCGCTTTGCTTTACGAAATATGGTCCCTTTTTGCCCCGGTCATCAGTCCCCAGGGGGGCAATACCTTCCAGGTATACATAACTAAGTCCCTTTTGCTTAAGGATGCCAACCTTCAGGCTGGGGACCGAGATAAGAATACATCTGCTGTCACCCACTGCATGTATCATTATATACGACTAATGTGGGGAACCCCTGCATAATTAGGGATTTGCTTTCGAGCCCTTTTGAGACAAATCAAATAGCCAGCCGTGTGCCTTTAATTTTGCTATAACATATAACAGGGGTGCAGAGAGCGAAAGTGATTATCAGAGATGAACATCAATGGACCGTTGTTTTTTTCTTTTAAAATGAATGAATTTTAGCAACATTGATACAGTGTCGATGTATTTGCTATACTTTGTGAACCGATCGATTCAAATAATGCGTGTGTATTATTTCAGCGCGACCAATAACTTATATCACATGAACTATGTGCATGACCCTTTCCCCAAGCAAATAAATGTAATTTAATTCCATGATAATTAATTTTATATCGAATGATTAAGATTTAAATTAATTAAATTAATTTAAAGGTATAACAAATAAAGTTAAAATCTAATGTTAATATTAGTATCGTGCTTCGCCTATTCATTTGAGAAAGCCAACAAACATCATTTATCTATTGAACGATTAATATATTCGTGTAAAAACAAATTCTTAGTATGCATGATCGCCTACGTACAACGTCTAGAATGTTATCGCAAAACCTTTTAAACGGATACATAAAGTTTGGGCAAAAGTACATATAAATGCATTACATAGGATACGGCTCATTAAAAATCTGTTAGGCGACCGTGTGAGAGTCGTACATATAGCAAGCACCATATTTTTATTCAATGAACAATGGCGATCATGTATTTCTTAAAACTATATATTTGTCTTTAATGACATAAAATGTCTTTTAAGAAATAAAAGATAGCTGGTATACCAAATATCCTTTATGTTATATAGTTATTATATATCTAATTTACATGCTATTTTGTTTATCATATACTACATATGTATATGTTATATCTAATTTGTTTTGTATACTTTATGCAATATATGATTCAGTAAATGCAATATGAATTATTATACATGAAATTGATAGATAAACGAGGCAGCACAAATATAGAACAAAAACAGAAACTTGAAACAAAAAACGTATAAATGCATGCATCGTATAAAAGATTTGTAACATGAATGTCAAGGTGATATATGTTTATAATGAAACATATATCTGAAACAGAAATTTGATTTTGTTTAGTATTCGTTTTATGGTCAGTAAGCAATTCAAGCATGAGGGGCAAACGTAAATGACCTATATCTTGTAAACTATATACAGTAACAAAAACGCTAGGGAAGATAAGCGTTGCGTTTAATTATGTATAAGCTTACCGTAAATATTGTATGCAACATCTTGTTTATGTATCGGGGAATATTAGGGCGATCATGCTGTTTATATAACTTAATTTAAATCCTTAAGCTAAAAGCAATAAAATGTTAAAACCATTAATAACAAATTGTGTAAGGTGAAAGTGGCAAATAGTTGGAATCAATGCATAGACAACAAATCACAATGTAAAATCTCACATCGGGAAATTGTATTAGAGATAACCGCCAAAACGATGTTGTCCTTGCCTATCTCGGGATCGGTCATTGATACAATATCCATTCTTATTCATGGAAAAGCTTGTTACTAGACTGCATTGACCTTCAGCCAACAAGAGAAACGTTTTTATAATAATATAACATATCTCAAATCTCTTTCAAAACTGTAAATATATGTACAACTCTAACCTACCTAAAAGCTGTTGGTGTGTTCAAAAAGAGATATCTTACCATAGTCACTTTTACCTTTTCGTTCATTTGATGCCATTTTCTTTAACATGTTTTATCTACTTTTTATTAGACCTAATGACCCTTTTTGTGTTGATCGACCGTGCAAAAATCAATTAATAGTACAAATAATTAAAACTAATATCGGGGTATAAAACAATTCTCCCAAAAACAGGTAAACGCCTTAATACATTTTAAACGCCATAACACCATAGTCATATCAGTCGAAAACCAATATTGGAATAACTTGTTTATCGTTGTTAGGATATGTCACCAAGCGAAATACCTTGCTAGTTTCCTTCGGTGTTGTATTTCTGGTGGCCACAAATGCGACAAAAATAAATCGGCTGCACCCGGTATATCCTTACTTTTGTTTACTTCCTAACAATATATTTTTGCAATTGCTCGTTTTTATCCTTAATGTTCAAGTTCTCAAATTGGGAAGGTAATGGTTCGGTCCCTAGGCCAGGATAGACTAAAGTCCTTAAAGTGGTAGATGTTATTCCCTCCTCAACCCAATGTCAGTGTAATGTGACAAGGGTGTTGTACTGTGCTGGGTGACCTCGGCACGGTATTTCAGCAAGTTGCCACGTAAAAGTCATCATGAGACCCGCACTATCGCAAGAAGTCAGATATAGCAAGATACCCTGTACACACATACACCTGTACACAACACACATAGAGGCGCGTCCTTAAACGACCTTAGGTGTTTCTTTGCTCTATGACGTTTTTCTATCTAGATCCGACAGGGGCTTTATAATTACTGTCATACGGGGCACAGACGTTCCTGGCCCTACTGAAATACCTCGTTGCGGCTAAGGTTTAACTCTTGATTTTTTTCTCCGTACCTGTTTATTTCACTTCGTTTCCATTTTGTACTCTATAGTATATTGTGTCTTTTTTACTGCGGATGTTATTTAACTTGACCTATTTAACTACATTGGCCATATATTTTTAGTTTGAAGATGGAAGACTCCTTGGATAAGATTTTGGTGAAGGGGCTGACATCCTCTCCTAAACACATCCCTACTTGGTACAACTACGACGATGTTGGATCGCAACTGGAACATAAATGTGTAATGGAGAACCCTGGATACTATTTCACAAGGAGCCAAATGTCTGTCCTGCAGAACAATATACAGGTATACAGACTAGCATTTTATGTATTTTGAGGAATGGTTATTTACGTACATGTAACTTTTGTGCAATTGCTACGGTTTCACGTAAACAAATGTGTACAAACGAAACACACAGGTAAAAATAAGATTATGCAAATTTGTAAATGTTTCTACATGCCGTATGTGGTAGCTTAAATGTGGCAGCAGAGTCAGGGATTGTCCTCTGTGTAGTTATTTGTTCTATTTTTAATTATATTACTTAATATGTTCAAGGGATAACTATCATTTCGAATTGGCTATAGAAACTGGAATTAAATATGTCAACTTCATAGAAGGCTAGGGTTTAAAAAAAAAAAAAGTACAACATGCTTCATTGATTTTTTTTTTTTATTAACTACTCTTTCTTAAAGAGGCTGAGCGTAGACGACTTTTATGGTCTTATGTTGTATTCTTAATAAATAAAAGTAATCGAAGGACTATTAAACAAATAAGGATCATCCCTTGTCATTTTATTTCATAATTATGACTAAATTACAAGTATCTATATAGATAAGTCATTATAAGAGACGTTAATGACACCATCTTTTAACAGAAAAGGACGCCGTTTTTATTCAGTTGTCGGCATGATGACCTTTATTTAATTGTCAAATTATTTTTATTAAATGTGTTTCCTCTAAAATTAAAAACCAACCATTAATAGTGATAAAAGGCTGTAATAACAAGCCTATATGTTTTTGCATTGCATACAGTTACATGTTTTGCCCCCCTGCAGGTCTGGGGTCGACAATCGAATACACCTGCAGAATTGGGGATTTGCTTTTGTGCCCTCTACTTGGGGACACAAAAGCGACCAAAATAAATCTGCTGCAGTCATTGTCTTTATGCATCTTTCTACTTCTGACTACCGTTTATATCCTACCGCATCACTTTTGTCTTTAATGTTGAACTTTCGTTCAGCTGAGGAAGGCAATGGGTTCTGTCCCAAGGCCGGGACATATCAAAGTTGCTATGTTCTGCTTAACGTTCAGTTACAATGCAATTGGCGTATATTATGTCAATTATTAGATCCCGCACTCTCATTTCTTCTAAAAAAATATTGATATTCAGAATAATGAAACACAAGGCTTATATAATAGTATAGAATGCTGGTCGTGGTTCGTAACATACATACACGCATACAAATGTACAAATATTTGTAAAAGCATCATGGATGGCTGCCTTTTATACTTATCATTTGAAACAGCCGCCCATTGTCATCTTTTGGCTCTTTCCATGTAAAGTTCAAAAATTGCTTCGTATCAATGTGCACTTTCGCACCAAAAGCACAACTTTCTGATGGATAACATAACAACTCGATTTTCGTTTGCATTATGGTAATATTTATCTTTAGAGCACGCTTTGTCATAAAGAAGACATAGTACACGTAATTGAAAAATTGTTATTATTATTTGATTCTTAACGGCCCATCAATACATAAAAAGGTCATTAGGGCCTATAAAAGAAGATAAAACATTTTAAAAGAAATACCAAAGGAACGAAAAGGTAAAAGAGTGATTGTTGGTTATCCTGCTTATCTTATGGTTATTTGGTAATGTTCAAATTGTATAAGAACCCGATGTTTAGTGTGTTTTACAATTTGAAAATTAACTTTTCATGGAGGGTGCCAAAGTCCATCTTGGATATCTCGCTTTATTTACAACAGAGAGAAAAATAAATGGAATGAAGCAATATCAAATGTTTATCTGAAACGCTTTGTCTCTTTTTACTTTTACCTGTGAAATGTTCAATTTAAATGTAACAAAATTTGTATATTTAAAATTTTCCTTGAAAGAGTATCCTTCCAAGTGGTCCACACCAGCTTACTTTGGTCGACCTAGGAAGTGGCAACTGCTCCAAAACAAGACCTATTATTGATGAGCTACTGAAAACACAACACAATCTTGCATTTTACCCCGTAGATATTTCTGGAGGTAAGTAAAAATGACTGATCGAGACATTAAGTAGTCTATTCATCTTTAAATAAAGTTTTTTTTTATCATTGAAATTCTTTTGTTGTTGTTGTGATATGACTAAAAACATACATTACATAAAATATTTAACGTTAAGTAAGCCTATGCTTTTCAATTTATACTTAGTTGGACAGATATAATAGCTAATGAAACTGCTGAAAAATGAAAATGTACTGAACTGCTTTACTAATTGTATAAAAAGGTTCACTAAAATAATCAAATCGGTTCCAGCTGATGGATGATTATAAAATTGTCAACTAAAGCGTGCATAGTGGCTTTGTCGGATATGTGTTCATGAGTGCAATTACATACCACATGCATATTTTCTGGCATTGCTTCCCAAGGCATCATTTTTTTGTTTAACTCGGGAAATGTTTCACCAGCATATTGACGCTTACCTTTCCGCAACTTTAAGCCTTACGCTTTGCTAATATTTTCCCTCAGTTCATAGAAGTCGACTCCTTCATAATTCTTGGTCTAATTCTTTTTTCATATTTTGCTCTAGAAATATCGATTTTGAGTTCGAATTATAGTTTGACACTTGATTTTTCTTAATTTTATTTACAGATTTTCTACTCAAATCAATGGATGAGCTGTCAAAGGAATACGGCAAAAAAGTTCAGATTACACCCATAGCTGCAGACTATATGCAAGGAATAAAGCAACTAAGGTAGGACATTTGTTTTGTTTTGACATTTGGCAAGAATATGCTTTCGTATTAATACAAGTTTGTTTAAAGACTGTTTATGCGCCTTTTGATAATGCTAACTATTATTATCAAATTAAAAACAACCCATCGACACAGAAGAGGTCATTAGAGCGAATAAAATGAAGATAAATCATGTGTAAAGGAAATGACGTCATACAATCGAAAAAGTAAAAGACAATGTCAACTTAAGAAGCAAGATTGGTTTTATTTTGTTGAACGTCCTACCAACAGCTAAGATCATTTAAGGAAGCAGTAGTGACTATGGACGGTTATATCTTTTTACCCTCTAAACTCCCTTAGATCCCTTAAGGTTTGGTTTGGTTAAGTATTGTTTAACGTCCTATCAACAGCTATGGTAATTTAAGGACGGACTCCACTGTTTGCAAGATGCATGCTTGTAGTGTTTGCGTGTGTGTTTTGGGAGGCTGCGATATGTTTGTGTTTGTCTACTTGTGATAGCGCGGAACTGATGCCGACTTTATAGCGGTACCTCACTGAAACATACTGCCGAAGAACCAGTCGTCCAACTCCTAAATGGCTGACCGTTAAGCAGGAGTAGAAACTTACCATTTTTACAGACTGGTATGTCTCGGCCAGGGGACAGAACCCAAAGCCTTCCCCACAGGGGCGAACGCTCAAACGCTCAACTTAAGGCCAAAAGTGAGGCATTGTCAAGGGAGACATTAGGAAGAAGAAAGTTATTTAGAAAGAAGAGAAACGATAATATTCCAAATTTAGTCGCCTTTTACGATCATGCAATGGGGGAAGCCGGTACAATTCTTACGCCCTACCTGTTAATAGGATGTTAAGCAAAACCCAACCAAACAGCCTTATTTTATAAATGTTTTAGTATGTCCGTGAGATATGCTTAACGATAACTGATAGAAATAAAATTTATCTGTTTATCTGTATTGCATTACCACACTACAGTCTACTTTGTTAATTTCTGACATGCCAGCAGTGATCTCATTTATAATGTGATATTAAGCAAATAATAGTACGTATCGTATAATCCGAATTCTTGTGTTACTGATCACCGAAATAAAATACAATATTTGACTCTTTTTCTAATTCAACCCTTCATTTTTCAACGCATTGACCTTCTTTAACTCATCAGCTAAATGAAATATTCACCTCAATTGGAGATGTTAAGTCGTTTTATACAGAGGCTTTTGTTAGGTTCAGCTTCCTTTTAACAGCTAGATCACTTATGCGCATGCATCCGTTCATGTATCGACAATGCTAGTCGATCCTTTAAAATGTGTTATCTACATTTATTGACTCGAGTGACGGCATTTGTGTTTATTGGCCGTTACAAAATTTAATTATACAACACTTGTCGAAAGAAGCGGCCCATTTCCCCCTATAGGATATAATCCGAGGTTCTTTCTGTGTTTTGTTAAGGGACATTGAATAAACTTGTATCTCGTCTAATTGTTTTCAGCGGTCATACCCGCCTCCCGCACACATACACACAGCATACACGGATGCACATCTTTAAATGTTCGTAGCTGTTAAAATAGTACGATAAACAAAATAAGACCAAACTAAACGTCGTTGTATATGACACTAGCTTTTGCAAGGAACTTTAACCCCTTACTCACCATGCAAAGATATCATGTTGCAAGGTAGGAAACTTGTTAGAGGAGTGGCGTCCTCGATACTCATGGGGAAATGGCTCACTTTTGCTCTCTACACCCCTGGAATATGTCATAACAAAATCGAAGGCTCAGTGTGCCCCACATTGTGATTAAAACGAGAGGACAAGTTTAATCCTTTGATGTACATCAAAAGAACCTGTCGATCGCGTAACGGTAAAACTGACTGGCTTTGAAGTCGGGTGTCGCTTCTCTGTAATCTTCAAAGGACAGGTATCGGCCTAGCGATAGGTCAGGATTTTTCACCCGAGATCAATCAAATGTCTAGTCGCATGCCTACACTTTTGCTATGACATATTCAAGGGGTACAGGGAGTGTAAGTGAGCGTGATTCCTGGAGAATCGAAGATAGAGGAGCGGATAGTCCTAAGTGATCAATTGGCTTGCAGTATTGTTAACTTTGCCTTTTAAAGACCAGGTGGACACTTAAGACTTTGCAAGGAAATTATATTTTATTTAAACTGATACCTGTTTATTTGAACCGTATAGCCTGAAATCTTGTTACAGAGGAGTGGATGGTCCCAAACTGATTATGTGGTTTGGCAGTATCATCAACTTGCCTTATGATGAACAGGTGAACACTCTCCGGTTGATTTCTACGATGATGACAGGTATTGCATCATGTTTATCCATATTATTATTGCTTAAGTCTGGTAGTCCTTTAAAAATATGTTGTTTGCAAAATCGTGCAAACGAATTGATTTCGTTAAATATTTGATCTGGTGGTTAAAATCAGTTGATTGTGATATCAGTATCACAGAATCTCCATCAAAGATTGGTTATAGTGTGTAAATTAAAAAGGTGGCATGCGTAGGTCTAAATTTGCGCATACAGTTATAAGGCTGAAACACGCAGGATTAATAATTCATTATCCAAGAACATAGATGTTGTCAATTTGTTTCAATTTAAGTTAAGACGGCTTAATAACTTTCGATTTTATATTAGTGGGTTTTTTCCTAATTTCCGGAAATTCTGCCATCATTATTGTTTTACGACCCATCGACAATTCGAGTCATGTAGGGTCAAACAACGATGTAAAAATTAGACATTCACAAAAAATGAATACATAAAAAACCAGAAGCAGAAGGTTGAAATGTGTAAAAGATGTCAGAATGTATCAATAGCAAACGAATTGGTTATAAAATATATATCATATCTTATTATAGAGACCAATTGAATGTAAATTATCATATATTGATTGCACAGAAACTGTATCAAATCAACGTTTCATAGAAGGTAAATTATAAAATGTATAACGTATTTGTTTGAAATCGGCGCATTCAAGCTTTGCGTGATGTATGTATGGCCTATGAGCAGTCGCGAGAGGACAATTTCTTCTCTTCGGTCTGCTGTACCTTTTGTAATTGAGGTTTGCAAGCAATGATATATTGGTACGCCATCACCATAAAATCTGACAAAGCTCGGAAATCTGTAATATTTATTCTGCACACAATTATTAATACTGTACATATTTTATCATTTATTCCAGCAAAATGTCGATTGGTGTTCAGTGCTGACATCACACAACAGAGAAAGACAGTTTTAATGGCATATCATGACAAGGAAGGTACTTAAATTGCATTGCATATCTCTTACGGTATTTAGGATTATTATGCTGAAATATATACAGAAAACAGATTTAGTCCTCGGAATAGAAAACAATAAGAAATTAAGAAATAGAATTGGTTTATATAAAATAAAAAAAACGATTGTTGTCGTAACAGTTCATGTAGCAATAACAGCTGTTATGTTGCAGAGTATAATGACAAATGGAAATGTGAGTAGACATACAAAAATAATGTCCATTTAGCTTGATTCTATTATATATTCAACGGATATCAGACATGATGTCATCAAAAACAATGGTGTCCGTGATGTCACTGGCGAACGTGAGTAACAATGCAAATCTTGGTTTGGTATTTAACATAACAATGTATTACTCAATCCATTATAAACATGTTGAAAGACTTTTTTCTCTCATTCAATTGTTCATTATCGCATGCACATATTTACAACATAACAAAGAAGCTATGTGATCGCACTATTTTCTTGATGTCATTCGAAAGGCTTGGAACAGAGTTTTGCTCAGAATGCAATCATCCGACTGAACAGTGACTATGGAAGTCAGATAGACCTCAAAATGTTCACGTTTGACGTAGAGTTCATATCGGACACCAGCCCCAAGCACATGAGCTACGTGAGGAACTACATCACGGCTGAAGAGGACATCCTTTATCCAATACGTAAGTTGAATATCTCTACTGGGAGATGTTGTTAGTAAACATTGGTAACCGCACATCGAAACATAGGTCAAGTGGTCACAAAGCTGTATAAATGACCGATAAAAGTATTTTTAAGGACAAGGTCAATAAAGCGTCGTTAAAAAAAAGTGTAAAGAAAATGACCGTAAGTAAACACAAATGTGAAAAACAAATGTCTACTTGACAGACACAGCACAGATAAATATTATTCAAATAGTCTTGAATTGTGCAGATACAATATTGGAAAAAAAAAAAATGTATTTAACTTTACTTGAATCCTACTTAAACTGTTTGGCTAACGGTCTAATCGAGATAATACTGACTAACATCGTCATATGTTATTTATAGAAAAATTAAATGGTTCTATATTATGACCTTTTTGCAAGAGTATTTTTGTTCTTTAATGGGGACACACAGTTAATACATTTATTACCATAAAATATAGGAAAATGCTATTTATATTTGGGTGTATACGTATTTGGCAGTGTATTTAAGGCAAGATATGCTATTAAAGAAATTATCTTGTACAGGCTGAAAGGCAATGCAATTGTCATAATAAGTGTTCCACTGTAAATGGTTCGTGAGAAGTTTTAACATATAGAGTGGTCTTCGCATTTCAATACATAATAATGTAATGTGTGAATGACCATTCTGGACATGGACGAGAGCGGCCTTGGCTCGGTGCGTTTGAATGTCTCAAGAAATACATTAAAGTATTCCATGTTTAATATTTTTATTTTTCACATACGTGTGTGAAGTTTTTCCCAAAATTTTGATGAACTTTTACCGTTTATTTTTATCCAGTTTTGATTCATTTATAAGTAAACCCTATGGGGGTCGCTTTCTGTTCAGAGTCCAATAAATGACAAAAACCTTCCATTTATTGACAGTTATGATTTTATTCTCTTTTGCAAACAATTTACTTTAATATACAGACAAATTTGCCACACGTTGTAGATTACAAATATAAAAAATTAACTCATTACAGAAATAAAAAAATAAATAAAAAAAAAGTTTTATTCATATTCCATATTGCCATGATATTCTTTCTAATTTTGTTTACTCCATTTTGCATGGTAAATGTTAAAAAAATAAGTTGTACAATAAATTATATCAGATATAGATTTTCTTGTGAAATCTCTTTACAATGCAAAACACATTTATTTATCAAAATTTTACCGTCTGAATTATGAAAAAAAAAGATATACATGATTATCTTGATACATCATCTAACAATACAAAAATATGAATCCATCAATATCTTACTAAGTCAATTTCGAAAAATAATTATATTGTAGCCCGTGTGTGTTGTCGATTAGGTCAACCACGTACAGATCTAACGAATTTTATGGCAATAAAAGGTAGGGGAGACATAGAAAACTTCAAATTAGACTTCATTAACCATACACAACTAAACAGGTCTAAAAATGTCACACTACAAACATTTGTAAGGCGGATCAACTTAGTGCGGAACGACCCAGGGCGAACGGAATTTAGGACGAAACGACCTGACACCCATCTTCCCACCCAGAACGTTCTGCATGTCTACCTGGCTTCGCGTTGTAAAAAAGAGGACAATTGTCATTTTTACAAATTGCTTTGTACACACATGTCCACCGCAGTAATAATAATAAGAAAACATCTCAAATTCCTTGACAGTTACACCAGGTTTGGTTTGGTTTTATTTTATTTTACGTCCTATTAACAGCTGATGTCATTAAAGGACGTGCCTCCATGTGTGTATGTAGAAAACATGGTATGTTGGTGTGCTCGTAAACAATAATACAACTATATATGTAGGTTAAACACATGACATAATTGAACATTATAGTGGTGAATATTAAAATAAACCTTATATTCTGCAGCTGGTCTAGGCATCAACCTTAGCATGAAGAAAGGAGAAAGGCTTTATTTCCACGAAGGTGTTGGCTTCAGCTGTAAATATACATTGGAGCAGCTACGAAACATCGTCGAAAAAGCAGGACTTCGCTTGGCGGAAACCGTGACGGATGAAGAGCAACATGCCATATTTTGTCATTGTACAGTTGCATAACGTCTCTTCTCACTTGAGGGAAACTAACATCACTAGGAATGAACTAACATACTCCTAGTGAACTACTTCTGGAGCGCTTTGTTTCCTCGTCAATAAATGTTTGTGTGAAGGACATTATTAATAAAAAAAAATAAAGAACAAAGATAATAAGCAGAAATCATCAAATGAAATGCTCACTAATATTAAGACGTTTACCCCTTAATAACAAACAATGCTCTAAGATGAGTTTTAAAACTTATTTTGTTCTACATTTATTCTAAAAAAAGGTTCGTGACACACTATGCATTGAAGTTTGTCTTCTAACGAACTCATAGTTTGTAACTAGAACAGCATGGACGTGTATAACATTTCTGTTTTGTAATCATTTCATCAAATTATCTTACTCAGTATAGTATTTCCGACAATGGTGGACTGAAGACTTGACATTTCGGACTCGGACTCTATCTTTATAAGATGCGAGTATTGTTGGATACAGAGATCGGCGGCGGTTGTCTGGTTCAAGTCGATTTCGTTTACTCTGTAAAGAGGTGTCCTCCGAGGATTTGGCGGATCCCAAGTGTTGTAAATATTCCTGAAATTGAACACATATGGTAAAAATTTTGTTTTCGTTATCATATAAAACTTAAAGAGGTTTACAATAATAAACATACATTCCGTCTTAGTATTATATTCCCAAACAACACACGCATACACTACACGCATGCATCTTGCACACTGGGGAGGCCGTCCTTAAATTACAACAGCTGTTGATAGGACGTTAAACAATACTTAACAAAACCAATTACGTAAAGCACACATTATTTTATGTCAATCAAACATCAAAACATAAATACCTCTGTTGACAAAAAATGGCGCCTGCCGTGCAGAATAATGTGCATATTTGCTATCCATTGCCGATATATAGCCGCGACACATTGTCTGGTTGATGTCAAAACTGAACGAAATACATAAGTCTGCTTTGTGACGCTGTTGACCGCATTCAGGTAGAGTAGTTGACTGTACCTCAAACAAGTGGTGTTCAAGGTCTTGGAATGGTAACATCGGTAATCTATAAAATTCCGAACGGCTATCTGAAAGAGACGATAACCGGTATTTAAAAAATCGATTTCAATTCCAGGAAATACGAAAAAAGTGTTTAATTAGTTCTATTTTCCAGGAAAAAAAGATGGAAACAAGACTGATTTAAATCATCGAACAGAAAGAACATGTCGAACGTTCACGACTTGAAAAACGTTTGCCAAAGAAAAACAATCGAACACAAAAGAAGGATTCATAAATGTATTGGTACCAAGCTTAAAATCTCACATCAAGTGAACGATGTACAAACAATAGGGTATGTTTTCCATATATCAAACATTCTAGGTAAACAAAGAGAGAGACAGTATGATAGTAAAAAGCGACAGATGATCTGGTTTCCGTACCTGTATTCTCAACCTCATAACAGTCACTAACATCAAAGCGGAGACTGACATGATTTCTAAAAGTAACCGGGTGAATTCGAAAATACACTGTGGTGATACTGGGGACCAGACGTGACTTGACTACCGTGTTTCTGTCACTGTTTCCGGTAAATACATGGAATAAGAAAGTTAACATACAACTAAAATTACACAGGCTTACAACAATACCTTACTTATCAAATTTAACACCTGTCCTTAAAATAACATGACTTATATAATCCATTATTAAGTTCATTCCGGGTCTATCTATATTCAGGACTTCTCTCGATTCTGAACTCACTTTGCTTATGATCATGTTGGTTGAAAGTGTTGCCATGTCAGAACGGGCTTGTTATCATACATATTTCCTGATAAAAGGAATAATTGCTGAAATAGCTGTTGTCGCAGCTGGAATAGTTAGTCGGTTACATATGTAACAGATCAGCAACGGTCAAATCTTATAGGGCCTGACAAAAATAACAACGGGCACTTGCACACTTAGTAATTACATTTAACGGGAAAAGTTTGAAATATGCAAACGTAAGTACACAGTAAAATGATCAGATGTGATATTAAATATTTGAAAACTCAGGTCGTATGATACTGATGTATTAGCAAATAAGGAGTGGGACGACTGGTTCGCCCGTTGTCAGTATAATGTGAACGGGTGGGGCGTCCTGCTGGGTGTCTTCGGCAGTATGTTTCAGTGCGGTAGCACTATAAAGTCGGCATCAGTTCCACGCTATTACAAGAAGACAAACACGAACATATCGCAGCCTCCCAAAATACACACACATACACTACACGCATGCATCTTGCACACAGGGGAGGCCGTCCTTAAATGACCTTAGCTGTTAATAGGACGTTAAACAAAATCAAACAAACAAACAAACAAAGTATTGACCTATTTTATGTAGATGTTTAAAAATCTTTGACAAACTAATAATTATACGGAATAGCTTGCATTTGTCTAAATCCGGCACATTTTATCAATATTGTTGGCACAATAATGTTTGTTATATGTATGGCAAAAGGGTGCGGTTTCCTCGCAAAATGTGTTCTGTGCGAATTTGTGAGAGGAAAACCTCTCCACGGTTTGTTTTATGTTTTGTATTGTTTAACGGCCCATCGACAATGTGAGTCATTTAGAGCCAACAACACTGTATAAAGAGACATTCACGAAAATAAACACATCAAACTAAAACTTAATAACGAACAAGAATTAAGAACGTACCCTGGGTCGTTGGCCTGATGATGTCATGTAAGACCACGTGATATTATCGATGCTATACATAATATGATATGTCTCTACCCACTGTTCGATATTGATGATGTCCTCTCGTCCCTGTAGCATAACATCATTCACCACTACTGTTCTTGGGAATTGCACCCGAAATAAATTGCATTTATATACTGTCGTTTTAAAAAAACGTACAAATGTTTGTCACAACTTCATGTACCATATAGTCTGTTTAGCCTAGCCCATCAGCATCAGATGGTGGTCTTTTCAAATCGCCCTTTGTCCGTCCGTCTTTATAGAATACTTGTTTGCGCTATTTTCGGAATTTATTGAATTTTTTGGTGTGCTCAGGCAAACAAGATGTCCGACAGCCGGCCATCTAGAATTTTGATAGTTTGAGATTGTTAGCGCCATTTCTCAGAAAGGGTCTTTGGTCTCTTGTTTGTGCATGTGTATTTTTGAGATTGAAAGGACAAAACAAACTGGTCAACATGCGGCCATCTTGGTTTTTGACATTACTTACGGTTTGTTATCACTATTTCCAAATACTACAAGGATTTTTAGTTCACCTTGTCATCTTTTCCTAAAAATCGCTACTAGTCATGAACGACTGAGCAGATTTTGACCAAATTTAGTCAGAAGCATCATTGGAGAAAGGGGAACACATTTGGTATAAATTGTTGGTCTGGCCCCCCTGGGGACGGGGGCCAATAGGGGAAACCAAGCAAATTATTCTTTAAAATCCTTCTTATTCTGTATGAATGAAAGGATTTGTTCCATATTTGGTCTGAACCATCCGTGTTCAAAGGGGAACCAATTTTGTATAAACGGTGGGTCCTGTCCCACAGGGGGTTGAGGGGCGGGCCGAATAGGGGAAATAAAGCAAATTCTTTAAAATCCTTCTTGATTCTGTAGCAATTAAAGGATTTGTTCCATATTTGGTCTGAAGCATTCTTGAATGATGGGGAATCAATTTTGTATAAACGGTGGGTCTGGCCCCCCTGTGGGCTGATGGGCGGGGCCCAATAGGGGAAATGTAACAAAATCTTTACAATCCTTCTTCTGTAGGAATGAAAGGATTTGTTCCATATTTGGTCTGAAGCATTTTTGGGTGAAGGGGACCAATTTTGTATAAACGGTGTGTCTACCCCCCTGACGGCAGAGAGGCGGGACCCAATAGGGGAAATAGAGGTAAAACTATTTTGTATGACCCCNTTGTTGCCATTCCCCTAAATGCTGAGCGTTTAGCAGGGAATAACAACTACCATTTTAAAGGACTTCGGTATGTCCCTGCCTGGGGACAGAACCCATTGCCTTCTTCACCTTGTTTGGTTTGGTAAAGTATTGTTTAACGTCAAGCCAAAATTGAGATGTTGCCATGCAAGGCGCTAGAAAAGACTAGAAAATGTATGTAAGTCATAAATGCCCGCTCATTGATTGGACGTGATGGGACGGACATCGGCAACACTATAGGCCCCCCCCCCCCGAATTTTATGGCGGCGGCACAAAAAAGTCTAGTTTGAAGTAGGAAGAAAGATAAAGCTTCCAAATACTGCAATGGGCGCCGCAGATCTATTTTGGTCGCTTTTGTGTCCCCAAATAGAAGCCAACAAAGCAAATCCCCGATTCTGCAGGGGGGTTACAACATTTCTCGCCTCCTACGATACAGGCAGTGGGTTACAGCAGGTGTATTCTTTTCCCGATCCCCCACCTGCAGGGCACGTACTCTAAGGATCTTTCTCAAATTTTGATATGCAAGTTATCCTTGGTCTATAACTGTGCATGTATGCTTTTGAGATTTATCGGGTGAACAAAAGGCCTACACGAGTCCGTGCTGGATTTTGACTGTTAAGATTTGTAATCGCTTTTTCACAGAAAGTACCAAAGGGATTCTGGATTGCATGTTCTCGGAAAGAAAAGAACTGCTGTATCTCATTACATGTCGCAGCCTCCCAAAATACACTACACACATGCATCTTGCACACAGAGGGGCCGTCCTTAAATGACCTTAGCTGTTAATAGGACGTTAAACATCATTACATGTTGTAAAATGCGATTAATGTTGGACCGAAATACAATTGGAGCTTTTTCTGTGTCTCTTCAAAGGGACCATAGACGAAATCAAAATTAATCTATCTTAAATTCTCTGTTTACTTTCTGATAACCTTTTTATACGGCCGTCAAATTTGACGGGAGTATTTGGTATGGGAGTGTTCTTCCGTCCGGCTAAACTTTTGTTTGTCGGGCAATCTTCTCCTACATTTTTCGACGGATCTCTTTGAAACTTGATATACATTAAAATCATGATATGAAGTTGTTTCTCCCTTAAAAGAATTTTGATTCGACAATTTTCCCAAAAATGATTGCCTTTTGTTCATTTCAGTATAAACAACTTATTTAAAGCTTTGTCGGAACTTCTTAGCCATGTGGTGCAGCTGTTCTGGATTTTGAAGATTGCTATGATAGCAAAGATACTAAAGTATACTTGAAATAAGAGCACACATTCCCATAGTTCTTTGAACAAATGGGTATTGACAGTAGTAATCTTTTATTGGATTACTCTTATTTGGTGTCGTGCTGTACTGAATCCAAACATTATATTTAGGCTGACTCTTGTGTCTGGAACAAATCTAACAACCAACGAGGTCTTTAGCGCCGATTCATTCATATTTCATAATCTTTACGAATTCTGACTTTGTTCTCTTGGAGAGAGCTAGGTGTTTTAACCCTCTAAACCAAACCGTTTGTTTGGAGTAGAAACTTAATTGAATGTGCAAGTTCTCTCTCTTTTCTGTCAGTTTCCGATGATCTTTGGTACATTGGTCCCTGTATCCAATTGAGACATGCAGTCATAATCTTTAGCACTTCCTCAATAATATCCGTGAAGCAATTAGATACTAATTGAGTTCTAAAAAATATCCAATGCTTAAGACGTTAGCCTGTAGAT